TTTATTCAAAAAGGAGAGACAGAAAGAAATAAATCTTGCATCCTACTGGTTTACTCCTCAAAGGTCTGCATCAGTTGGAGTTGTGTAAGGCTTAGCCAGAAGCCCATAACTCAGTCTAGGACCCCCAGGTAAGTAACAGGGACCCACATGTTTTTTGTCATCTTGTGTTGCCTTCCAAGGGGTGCATGGGCAGGATGCTTAACTCAGAAGCAGAACTGGGACTTGAACTCAGGTGCCCATATGGGATGTGAGAATCACAAGAAGCATCTTACCCCTTGCATCAAATTTTCATCCCTAACAGTGTCTTTTCTTTCCTTTTTTAGTTTCAGTTATTAAAATGGCATGAAGGTATCATGCTTCTGTAATATTTAGCAAAAATCTGTTGACAATTCCCTTACATTGCTTTTACAGCTTATGCCCATTTCCAGCTTATAAATCAGGGATGAAAATGTATATATCATTAAACTAATTAAATATTATAAATTTATTGAAAATAGTCACATAATTTTCTCTGGTTTAAATAATGCCCTACAAAAATAGTTCAGTGTATTCAAACGAACAATTTTACTCTCTTACTAAAACATTAAAATCAAGTCATTTCTAAAATGTAACTCAAGAAAAATATGGATTATTCTGAGATGTTGAAAATCTGAAAATGCATGTAGTTACCAGAATTCTTAGAAACAATGTTGACACTTGGGGCTGGTGATATGACGTAGTAGGCTGGATCTCCACCTGTGATGCCAATTCATGTCCCGGCTGCTCCTCTTCTGATCCAGTTCTCTACTAATGGCTTGGTAATGCAGTGGAAGATGGCCCAAATGTTTGGGCTCCTGCACTCATGTGGGAGACCTGGAAGAAGCTCTTGGCTCCTGACTTCGGATTGGCCCAGCTCCAGCCATTGCAGCCATTTGTGGACTGAACCAGTGGATGGAAGACCTTTCTGCCTCTCCCTCTCTCTCTGAAACTCTGCCTCTCAAATAAATAAATAAAATCTGTAAAAAATAATAGTGTTGACATTTTAATGTGGGGGTGAGGTAAGGGGTGGTTTAATAATGTCCTTATCAGCTAGGAGACAAGAACTCAGCACACATCTCCCACATGGGTAGGCAGCAATTCAACTACTTGTGCCATCACCTGCTACCTCAGAGTGTACATTGGCAAGTATCTGAAATCAGGAGCCAAAGCTGGAAATGGAATCTAGGCTTTCTGATTTGGGATACAAGCATCTAAATTGCTGGGACATACTTTCTCTTCAAACTACAATCATCAGGCTGCAGGAAAGGGTGAATTTCTTTATTGGGTTTGGACGAGGACAGTGAGCCAATTAATGGGTAGTTGATCATATATTTAAATTTTTCATTTAAAGAAACTCTAAGGGGTGGGCACTTGCTGCATTGAGATAGATTCCACTGGGACACCTGCATCCCATATGGAATGTCTGGATTCAAGTCCTGGCTCAACTCCTGCTTTTATAACTTCTCAGCTTCAGCCTGGCCCAGCCCCAGCTGTTGCAGGTATTAAGGGAGTGAACTAGCACATGGGGGATGCAAGAAGGAGATATTTCTCTACACCCCTCCCCCACTGCTCTCTCTCACTTTCTCTCTGCTTCTCAGGTAATGAAATTAAAAAAAGAGAATTTACTTACATAAAAAATAAATTCTGAAGACTACATGTATTTCTAGAAGGTCTTTATTACCAATAGGTAGTTTATATATTTGAATTTAAGTCATGGATTCAAGACACATTCAACAAGAAAGGGTAATAAACACCAAATTATACTTTATATAGTGCTCTCAGTGCGGATTTGATAATGAATTAACCACACATGAATTAAGTTTGGTTGAGCTCTTACGCATGTTTCTTAGGTAGCATGTTTACCATGGTTATGTTTTTATGCATAAAGATGATGTTCTATCATTTCATTATTATTACATATTGCTCTATAGGAACAACAATTTAATTTAAATAAAACTAAAGCTGTACATCTTAACAACTTACAAGGTTTTTTACAAACCTGATACAGATAGCAGAAATAGAAAAGCCAGCTACATTTGTCTCAGATTGCTATTTCCTTTGGAGATTATTCAAGCTTACACTCAAGAGAAAGATTACATAAGGGCCATCAGAAAGTAGAAAGATTTCTGAGATTAGAGTAAAATGAGAGGTTTACGAGTGATTTCATAAAGGAGATGAGATCTGAGCTAAGCCTTAAAGAACAAACAGGATTTGGACAGGGTAACTGGAGAGGTGCTTAACGCAGGGAGACTGTGAGCAAACCAAGAAAGTATAAGTTCTGATCAGAAAAAGAATTTATTTACTACCGTGCTTTTCAGACTGCAGGGTCATATCCCATTACATAAGTATCTCTCCAAAAGAGTGCTATTTTCTCATGTACAGAAGAATGTATGACACATCCCTGATCTTGGGCAACTAAATACTAATAGCAAGGCCCCTTCATTCCTTTAATTATGGAGAAAAGCCAAAATGTCCTTGTTTATTTCTGAATGCCTCCTTGTAGTGAGTAAACCTTCCTCAAACTGAGAGTCAAGAACCCAAAAGAATTAGTTTTCAAAAGAAGGTAATAGAATAGGAAAAAAAAAAGAAAGAATAAAAGAAAGTGCACATGCATTATCCAAAAAGATATAACCAGGAAATGAGGGGTCCTATCTTAACTAAATGTAACCTATTGAATTTTAGAACAGAGAGACATGTGACAAGTATAGTCTTAGTGACTTTCAAACCATATATTTTATCAGCATATCCACTGGGAAAAAAGCTTATAAATGATACACCCAGCTTTATGAAAACTAAAGACCAGAGAACTTATGTGACTTCACAAATTACTGACATTGTTATAACTGAAATGAGGAGATATACTAGAAATTCAGAGATGGGAAGACAATGAGATATATCCATAAAAGCTGTGCTCATTCCAAATGCAGTTCCTTTCTGAATAATCATGTATAGGACAACTATTTTCCTACATTTCTCGGTTAGTTTATACCTAGACAGATTTCAAGACCTAAAGAAACATAGGGTACTTACACAGCTTTCCTCAGAGGATTTGAACATTTCACTTTTTTACACTTTTAAATTTTTATGTACAACATGAACATGCACTTCAACCCAAGTCCCTTAGATATGACCCATGTCTTCATTGAAGCATGGCAAACATAATCACCTACAAAATATATTTCCTGTTTCAGAAATATGGCTTCAGCTCCCTTCCCTACCAGCAATCATCTCATATTCATGACATAAGACAGCTAGTGCTGCAGGCGAGATTTCCATTTATGTGTCACCCTCAGAACTCAGTTTTTCCCTTCGTTTTGGAGTCTGAACATTTCTCTGATTCCAATATCTCCTCCTGGCTCAGTAGAGAAGTTCCTTCTTCCCTCCTCAGATCAAGTAAACCACATGACTGGGATAATTGGTAAGCTTTTGCCATGAAAAGGGTAATAGGACCTTGTGACACAACGTAATTACAATGTAATTCTGTTCTCTGCAGGTTTACATTCCCTGATAAAACTTCATTAAGTCTGAAATGAATAAAGAAATAGTTATACATATAAATGAGTGCTGGATCTGAGTTAAAAACCAAAGAGTTGAAAGCTGAATATATTCCACAAATATATATTTGTTGCCCAGTGTGTAGCTTAAACTCAATGCACTTAAATTGGCCCTGGCTTCCAGTATCTACCACTCCAGGTTGCATTATACGGGGCTCATTCATAAGTCTATGTTGTTAGATGTGTCCCAGGTTTTCACTCTCTAGCAGATAGTACTGAAGACCATGGACTTTGATGTGCTGCAGGCTGAGTTTGAGACTGTCTTCTCCAACAATTTTCTAGCTATAAAATGAGGATACTAAAAGAAACTATTGCATAAAGTTTGTGGGCATTCACTTAGATAAAGCATGTGAAGTATTACAGCAATGCTGTGTCATATATTAATTAATAAACATTAGTTCTTATTATTCCTTAGTAAATGAAATCCCCAGTAATAACATAATTGTGTCAAAGTAGGAGATAGGACTAGAAGGCTTTGACTAAAAGTAGGACCACATGGGCATAATTTCACAAACATAATTTTATGTAGGCTGTTTTAATAGAAACTGATATTAGGGAAGTGAATTTTAGCAGATGACAGAACTATAATAAGATTTCTTTGGATTGGTTTTTAAATGTGCTACATTGCACTGAACTCATTCTGCCCATTAGTTCCAAAGTAATATAGTTTTCAACCACATGTTCCATATATAATTTTTTTCAGGCATGTGACTCCATGAACTGTTTAGTGGGTTCAAATGAAAACACAGAATCTAAGGGAGAGGTGACTTCTGTGAAATAAGAAAGTGCTCTTTGAATTTCATAAAAATGAAACATTTCTTAGACCCTCTTAGCTTTCATAGATTGTTGAAATAAGAACTCAAAATTCATAATCGCACGTTACTTAGGAAATCCTACTGGCTGAAACAGTTTGTTGTTTGGTATATGTTATCTGAAAAATAATGGGGATTCATAATGCACTGGCCAGGTTAAATTTTTTTAAATGGAAACTTTACCTTGTAAAATCAAAAATAGTTCTGTTAACTGAGAAGTGGATTAGAATGTTCAAAGTGCTTGGGGACTGAGCTCTCTATAAAGTCTGATTTATACTGCAGACATCATAATGCCTACCTACTTCAGAATGACAAATAGTGCCAGGCTGGAGGCACAACGGCAGCCCCAGAGCGTTCACAGCAAATGTCTTCCATCTTAATAGCTGAGTCTGTGTCACTCTGTACACTTAAAATTCTGAGCATTTAACACTTCTTGTTGCATCTAAATCCAGATACAAAAACCTTCCAATCAAACTATTTACCTCAACCAAAACCTGTCTTGAATAATTCATAAGGAAGGAGAAACGAGAGCAGTCTAAAAAGCCAAAGAGAGTTTTAATGAACCCTGGAGTTTCAAAAATAATGGCACAGAAGCTATTGCAGATCTTCTCCTTACCCAATAAGCAGGAGCACTGGTCTCTCTTAACATTAATACTCGTAGGAAACTGAGGAGCAGCACGGAGTTCAGCTCTCTGTCATCTGTGATTGACAGGCGAGCTGCATCACACATTACCAGGAGATGCTCCTTTCTGAATGTGTGACACCTGAAGAAACATCAAAGCCATCACATGCAAATGTCTTAATCTTATTTTGTTTCCTAAAATTCCAGGGATATCTGGAGATTCAGTAAAAAAGAAACTTGACGATCAATATATGTTGCAGCTCTGACCTAGATTATAATACCACCTGCTTTTTCGTGCCTTGGCTATCCTCTAAGTTTAGTTGAAATAATGGGCAGAGTTCATTACCACTCAAGTGTATATGAAGTTTTCCCTCTCTGCTCTCACAGATAACCAACTCTGCAGAATTTGTCTGGGGAGAAAATTCATGATTTTTATTAAATTTCCACAATGGAAGCCATTTTACAGAGCTATTCCTGGAAAGGTAGGTACTAGTTTTCTTTTCTTTCTATAACAAATTGCCATCAATTTAAAAGACTTTTGAACAACACAGATTTTTCTTCAGTTTTGCAGATCAGAAATTTCAAATGGGTCTTACTAGGCTAAAACTGAGGTATGGGCACTGTTGTGTTGTATCTGGTGAATCCAGAGGAGATTCCCTTGCTTGTTCTTTTCTAAGTTCTGGGTGATGCTCCTGGTCCTTAGTTGGTATCCTCCCTCCAGTTTCTTTTCTTCCTTTTTTTAAAAGATTTTATTTATTTATTTATTTGACAGGTAGAGTAACAGTGAGAGAAAGAAAGAGAGAGGTCTTCCTTCCGTTGGCTCACTCCCCAAATGGCTGCAATGGATGGAACTACGTCGATCTGAAGCCAGGAGCCAGGTGCTTCTTCCTGGTCTCCCATGCTGGTGCAGGGGCCCAAGCTCTTGGGCCATCCTCCACTGCACTCCCGGGCCACAGCAGAGAGCTGGACTGGAAGAGGAGCAGCCGGTACTAGAACTGGCACCCATATGGGATGTCGGCACCATGGGCGGAGGATTAACCTAGTGTGCCAAGGGGCTGGCCCCATTCCCTCCATTTTCTTTTTTTGTTTGGTTTTTGTTTGTTTGTTTGTTTGTTTGACAGGCAGAGTTAGACAGTGATTGATAGAGAGAGAGAGAGAGAGAGAGAGAGAGAGGTCTTCCTTCTGTTGGTTCACCCCCCAAATGGCTGCTACGGCCGGTACACTGAGCCAATCCGAAGCCAGGAGCCAGGTGCTTCCTCCTGGTCTCCCATGCAGATGCAGGGCCCAAGCACTGCCTTCCCAGGCCACAGCAGAGAGCTGGACTGGAAGAGGAGCAACCGAGACAGAACCTGGAGCCCCAACTGGGACTAGAACCCGGGGTACCGGCGCTGCAGGTGGAGGATTAGCTCAGTGAGCCACAGCGCTGGCCCTCTCCATTTTCAAAGCATGTCATTCCACCCTCTGACTTGTCAAAATTATTTAAATTTTTACTTGAAAGAGAAAGAAGAGAGAGAAGGAGAGAGAGAGAGAGAGAGAGAGAGAGAGAGAGAATTTTCTATATATTAGCTTAACTGCCCATATGCCCTTAACACCAGGGCTCGGCCAAGATGAAGCTGGCGGTACAGAACTCCATCCTCATTTCCCACATGGGTGGCAGGGATCCAAGTCCTTGAGCCGTAGCCTTCTGCTTCCCAGAGTGCTCATTAGCTGGAAGCTGGAAGCTGGAAGCTGAAGGAGAATAGTAAGGACTTGAACCAGGTGCTCAGATATGGGAGGTGGGCATTACAAGTGATGATATAACAACTACACCACGTGCACCTGCTCCCAGCCTCTGCTGTTGTGATCTCATTTCTTCTGCCTTTGATCGTCGTGCTTGTCTTGTATAATTATGATTATATTGGGTCCATCTGGGTAATCCAAGATTGTTTTACCTTCTTAAGGTCCTTAATTACATCAGCAAACTTTCTATTTGTCAGAAAAGGTAAGCTATTTACAGACTCCAGGATTTGGAAGTGAATATGTTTGGGGACATTATTCAATCCATAATAGGAGCATAATAATCAACTTAGTTGCTTAATAGAAATATTTATAGATTAGATATTAAGCTATATATGGCTTGATTTTAAAACACAGAAGATAATCTCAATAATTTCAGTGTGAATATATTTTTAAATAAATATTTTATAAAACTGTATTTTACAAAACTTTTTATAGAAAGCTTTTATGTAATAAATATACATTTTGTAGGTACAAGTTTTGGATTATAATGGTTCTTCGCCCATACCCACCCTCCGACCTCAAACCGTCCTACCTCCTACTCCTTCTCCCATACCATCCTTCATTAAGATTGTTTTAATTATCTTTATATACAGAACATCAACTGTATAGTACGTAAAGATTTCAACAGTTTGCACCCACACAGACACACAACATAGAAAGTACTGTTTGAAGACTAGTTTAACCATCAGTTCTCATAGTAGAACACATTAAGGACAGAGATCCTATATGGGGAGCAAGTGCACAGTGACTCCTGTTATTCATTTAACAATGACACTCTTACTTATGACGTCAGTGCTCACCCAAGGTTCTTGTCATGAGCTGCCCAGGCTATGGAAGTTTCTTGAGTCCACAGACTCCGACATTATTTAGACATGGCCATAATCAAAGTGGAAATTCTCTCCTCCCTTCAGAGAAAGGTACCTCCTTCATTGATGGCCCCATCTTTCCACCTGGATCTCACTCACAGAGCTTTCATGTAGGCCATTTTTTTGCCACAGTTTCTTGGCTTTCCATGCCTGACATTCTCTCATGGGCTTTTTAGCCAGATTCAAATTCCTTAAGGGCTGATTCTTAAGCCTGAGTGCTGTTTAGGGCATTTGTCATTCTATGAGTGTGCTGTGTTGCCTGCTTCCCATGTTGGATCATTCTCTCCTTTTTAATTCTATCTATTATTATTAGCAGAGACGTGGGCCTATTTATGTGATCCCTTTGACACTTATTTCTATGTTTATGATAAGTTATGAACTTAAACTGATCACTTTAACTAGTAAGATGGCATTGGTATCTGCCAGCTTAATGGGATTTGGAGTCCTATGGAAAATTTTTAGCTTTATCCTTAGGGGTAAGTCCGAGGGAACATGTGCCAAACTGTACATCTCCTCCCTCTCTTTAAAACTTACTAGAAAACATTTAAAATATGTAAGTTTACGAGTTGCTAATTTCTGTCAACTAACAATAATGGAACATTTCAAATACTGGTAAGACCAAAATATCTGTATCAAACCAATAATCATTTAATTAACACTCATTAAAACTTAAAAAAAGTAAAACTTAGTAATGTGTTATCTTCTTTAAAGAATTTGCAAGTGTGTTTGTGTATGTGTATTTATCTTTCCCCTTTTGGTCTGCTTGCCTAGAACATAAATAAGTTACTTTTTAATGTTTATTGAATAAATGCATGAGTGAATGGATAAACCTATTTTTGGGGTGGGAATCTGGCCCATCAGACTCCTATCCTGCATGCTATATTGGAGTACTTGGGTTCAATTCCTGGCCCTGGTCCCAATTTCTGCCTCTGAGTCTGAGTTAGCCTCTGGTTAATACACAAACAGGGAGACAGCAGATGATGGCTAAATACTTGGATCTCTGTACCCACATGGGAGATCCAAACTAAGTTCCTGGCTCCAAGCTTTGATGTGGACTAGCTGTGACTATTGCAAGCATCTAGGGAATGAACCAACATATGAGAGCTAGCTCGCTCTCTCTGTCTCTTAAATACATTAAAAAAGCTATTTCAGGTGTCTAATTTCTGTAACTCTTCCAGATTTTTTAAAAGCATAGCAACATTGCTGGCTTACAATTAAAAGCAGACTTAATAATCAATACACTCTTAGGAACTATATATATATAATTTCTTGTCAAATTTCATTTCAAATACATATCACTAATTTTTAAAGAAGTCCATAATAAAATGGGTCAATCACATGAAGGGAAATTTTTCAAATAAAATGAACCATAGAAATAATTCTTGCCTGAAATTAGTTCAAATGTATCTCAATTGGAACCCAATATATATATTTGTATATGACAAACTCATACATGTTTCCAACAACTTACTATGTTTGTAAATAGTTAATATAACTTTTGCATGTCATTTTCAGAGAATAAGAGAAGTATTTAACTCATAATTAATCTATGTAGACAAAACAGTGGTTTAAGGAAGGAATGTCTTTAAGAGTCTTAAAAATCACATTGAGAGCCGGCGCCGTGGCTCAATAGGCTAATCCTCCACCTTGCGGCGCCGGCACACCGGGTTCTAGTCCCGGTTGGGGCGCCGGATTCTGTCCCGGTTGCCCCTCTTCCAGGCCAGCTCTCTGCTATGGCCAGGGAGTGCAGTGGAGGATGGCCCAGGTGCTTGGGCCCTGCACCCCATGGGAGACCAGGAAAAGCACCTGGCTCCTGGCTCCTGCCAGGATCAGCGCGGTGCGCCGGCTGCAGCGGCGGCCATTGGAGGGTGAACCAACGGCAAAAGGAAGACCTTTCTCTCTCTGTCTCTCTCTCTCTCACTGTCCACTCTGCCTGTCAAAAAAAAAAAAAAAAAAAAAAAAAAAAAATCACATTGAATTTTAAAGCTGTTTAAAAAATTTCAAATTAAGCTATGACCATATTAAGAATTGCATTATTATCCTAGATGAAAAAGCAGTTTAGCAAGAGACCTATTAATGAAGTTTAAGATACTTAAATTATTTTTCTGGGAAAAGAAGTATGGAGTAACTTTGTTGTAGATATATTTAGTTTGCAATATTTTACTCTCAATATTTCTCACTCTATAAATTTTCACCAAAATAGTTTTATTTCACCATTTATTTCAAGAAGGAAAAGTATGTATTTAAATAAAATACCTATTCTCAAATGAATGTTCTCTGTTACTAGATTCTACCTACTGATGCCATGTGCATGTTAAAATTAGTGATGCTTTTAACAGATTTTGGTGATCATGTTAACATATAGAATGTGCTAAATGTCATTTCTGAGAAAACTAGTAAAATGTCAATGTTTTGAATTTCTATTCTAATCTGAAGGTATGTGTAGATGCTTATGCTGAATTAAGTCATTTATAATTTATGTTCAAGATTTTTTAAA